AGCTTGCTAGTCATCAGAAACAACTGAAAACAGTAGTTAATAAAAACAATGTTTTCCGTATTCAAAAGTGTTTTGAGGTCACTTCAACGATCATAGTACGTAACTAATGCATCGCGCATTCGAATCTATTGCACACGAAGAGATTCTTCTGAAACAAGAATGTCTTGGGTAAAAATCCAGTGTTCATTACTCTCAAGGAAGAGGAAAAGCTGGTTATAATCAAAGCAGTCATAGACAACCATGGTTAATCAACGGTAATCATTGAAAATCCTCCAGATCAAAGTGGTTTTTATTCAGAACAGTAAAGCTAAATTTTATTGATTTATTGTTCAGTATAGTCTAAATTATATCGTTCGAATAGATATGATAATATGCTCTATAAATCTAAAGTATTCATAATGAACAGTATATAGTCAATATATAATCTACATCGATATTTTATTGTGCTAACTGGTTTGCTATCATATAAATATAGTTGTGACTACTCTCTTTTATTGTACATAAAACGTCATCAAAACTTAAGTAAGAAAAGAATTAAGAATCAGGAGAAAATCTTTAAAATCAGTTCCTGATTTCAGGAGAAATATCATCAGAAGAAATGTTTAAAAATCAGGAGGTTTGGCAATCCGGCTTAATTTGCTTTCATTTTTCTTGTCAAGAATACGACAGCAATTTATCTGTTTTTTTCTTTTAAACACTCAGTCTTTCTCTGAAATTTCATACCTAAAGTAAGTTTTTTCATTATCTTGATAACCAGAAACCTTACATTGACTAAAAAGTGTCTGAATCAATAATGTCATGATATAAAAGAAGGTGGATAATCAACGGTAATCAAAATGCAATCAATGGTAATCAAAATGAAATCAAAAGCAATAAAAAATCCAGCTTTTTCTCCTTTGATTACTCCATACTTCGCTTCAATCGTGCATTTTCTTCTAGAAATGATGACATATGTTCGTATCGTAGAAGATTTCAATAATTATAGGTAAAACATATCTGCGAGAACATTAGAATATAGGACGTGCTTTATAAAACACTCTTCATACATTTGACAACATATTTCTTTTCACATAATGATGCTAAGGTATTTTTTGAAACAAACACGAAAGATTCTGAATTTACTCTCAATGTGTATTCAATCATTATTTTTCTATAAATTTCTTTCTTCATAGACAACCATATTAATTCAAATTAGGTAGAAACTAATAACTAAATTGGTCATACATTTCATTTTGAATTAATTCTATTTATATGAATCAATACATAACATAAGTAACAAACTTACATAACCGAGACAGAAAAATACTTAATTTTTTTGCTTCAAGTTATTTATAGCAGTCAATGAAAGTTTTTTTTTCTCGTTGTTTCTATGCTCTCATGCTTTACATCAAATTTAAGGTCAGATAAAAATATCACATAAAAGTTTTATTGCAGTGTGATATATACCATATTGTTATATTGCTACTGAGTACATCTCAATGACACTATAACATGTATTTAAATAAAACTCTTCTGTCATATTATGATTCGGTAATAAATTTGATGCAGCGTATAATATTACAGAGACAAAGAGAGTGAAAGGCTTTTGTTCTATAATTTATATAGAATACAAAAATCCCCAGCGATATATCGTATTAGGCATGAGGACACGAATACTTTTTGAACTTTATCGAGATCTACTTATGGCTCAAAGATGGAGTCTAAATTACTTAATTTCATCATTATGTTCCCGCTTCAGTTTAATGTTAAATTAATAAGAAAATATAGTCAAGTGTTAAACGCAGATCCTGATAAAACTTGTCCGAGTCAATAAAGCTTGAGCTATAATCACTGTGTTGATAAATATTTTTCTATATGACACTATCTTATTTAGTCTTCAGATTAAGTTAAACCCTTAGAACATTATTTTTAGCAATAGACTAATGAAAAAAATCATCCAACTACTCAATTGTCTTTTTGATTAATGACTATGTACATTATGTAGGCTAATAAACTACGAATATCCTAAAAAAAGGCTCGATCCTTAGATTATTGCTACCAGTTAATTTCAGACTTAGCACAATCGCAGACCTTAATGAAAGTAATAGAGTTACAAGTCGGAACGCTTTTCAGGATATTCGTATTTTATAATAGTGTACGTAATGCACATAGGCCAGATCACAAAAATGATTGGATAGCTATATGACTTTTCTCATTAGTCTGTTCCAATAAGTGATGCTCCAAAACGGTTAATTCAATCTGAAAACTATATGAAATGTAAGTATCAGAAAAAGCCTTTACCATCAATGTCATTAGTTCATCGAATTTGTTGATTGGGATAAGCCTTGTTGAGATCTGCGATCAGCATTTGAGAATATTTCATCATAAATAAAAGATGCCTGATAAAATTATATTAATATCTATTATGCTACTCCTAATCCATTTCTTTATTAATCATGTATTGATATCGATTTAATCCAATAAATTTTTGATGACAGCTCAGGTATTATTTTTGAATATATATTCTTCATGTTTCTCGAACGACTCGTGAATTTTTTCAGTAATGTCTGAAGAATAAAATAAAATAAAATAATTCTATTTTTATTTAGATTTTATTCAACAACCAAACCAATCGTAATTATAAAGGAACAAAGACAGTTACTTACAGGACAATAGCTCATCGAATACTTGCTCGCAAATCATAAAGCTATATGGAGAAAAAAGTAAAATTTCTTTACTTCAAACCACTTCAAAGGTCTTTCAAAGTTATCTCTGACATGTTTTTAACTTTTTCAAATCTACCATAGATGTATATCAAATAAATACTGGTTTGAAATTACTCATTATGTATTTATCGAAAAAGAAAAGCTCAAATACTTTATGGTGCTTTGGCGAATTTTATAACTTGAAGTATGGTAAAGTACGGTAGTGTTAAGATATTTTGCTTTGTTCTGTTTGTACAGCTACCTAGTAGTAACAGGAAGACTCAGACACATATTCTTACTTTCATTCTGCTGTTCGATAGGCAATCATTAAAGTAAAAAAAAGAATGTTTAAACAAATAACTTAAACATCTGATTTTCAATGCACGTATAGTCATCAATAACTATTTAAAATACATCAGACGTTCTTTATATTTAGAACTTCTTTCATTCCTCTGTAGTTTTTTGGATTGTTTTTCTTGAGGATTTACTTTATGTCTAATTGAAATATACGTTACAGGAAAATTTAAATTTTTCCTATTGTTACAATTTAAAGCTATTCTATCTTTTATTTGAAAACTAACAAAACAATCTAATCAAGAATCAAGAAACAAACAGTCTGTCTGGACAAAAAATCTAATTAACAACGATCGAACAGATATATATACATATAGGCTCATATTTAAATGCAAAGCAATTTAAAATAAGTGCTAAGTAAAAATATTTTTTTGCTCAATAAAGATTGGTGAATAACTAAGTGAAAAATTGATTTGCACAGTTATTGTATCAATAAAGCTTTTGTTGCTTTTGTTGCTTTTTTTGGTCGTCCTCTTTTTCTTTTTTCTCGCAATAGTATATCCTTTGCTGCTGGTGATTTACAGAATTTCATTCTAATTGACATGCCAACTATATGTTTGCAAATATATTTTTTGAAGAAACTTGAACAATTTGTGGGGGTGAGTGTGGATGTGGGTACAAATGTTTGTCTTCTTCTCCTTCATTATTGATCGCGCATCAGCACTTACACCCACACCCACATCCATCCTCAAGATATTGTGTATATTAGAAGACCTCTTTTTAGATTTTTTTATACAGAGACACTATAGAAGATCAGGGGTCTTTAAAACTGGAAATGTGGGGCGAGTTATACATAATATATGGGTGTGTGTGTGTAGGAAAATATAGACGTCATCATAGAAGTAAAGAAACTCTCATTTAACATTTTAGAATTACTTTGTCTTTATCATAAATTGCTTAGTAATGAAATTTTTTACTGATCAAATGGAATTTCTTACTATGATTTTAATTTATTAACTTAGCGAAAAAATAATTTACTGGAATATTAATATTTTAACTTAGCAATTAGTTTTTTTTACTAAGAAACTTTATATTCATTTAGCGTCTAGATTATTCTACTTAGATTTAAATTATTTACTAAGCAAATATATATTTTACTTAGCAAATAAATAGCACCCATATGTATATATTTCCTTTTCTTTCAATTACGTGCGCTTTCTAACACCACAACAATTTACAGTTTTCTTGTATTTTAATCTTTCCTACAACATATACACAGTGAAGTAGTTCTTATGAGTAAATGCACTAAACCCAACTCAAATATATTTATAATACATCATTCTGAATATCGTGAGATAAATCAATAACATATTTCCTTTTGTTTTATCTGTATTTTTGCTTATTGATAAAAAAAAATAATTACCATACTTGTAAAACGACTTATAAACAACACATACGATTTACCTTTTTTTCATAGAGTTTTCACTTTGAGTTGTGTTTTAGTTCATTATTTATTTTTATTCTAGTTTTATAGATTTATCTAACTATTATTATTATTTCATAATGATACCCAATACATTAAATATAGCTAAACAAATATTAATGATTTCAAAGAAACATATTAAATATATTATTGGATTAATCATACTTAGTTTATGTTTTTTCTATTTTCCACATTATTATTCTGTAAATATTCAGTTCCCTCTTAAAAATATTTTCTCATTTATCTCAAATAAATCGTCAGAATCGACATTATCTTCATCATTATCATCCAGAGAACTACTTTTGTTGTATCAACACCAATTATTTCATATTGAAACAACTTCATTTCAACCAACATTTCATAATCATTATTTAAAATTTAAGTTAAATCTGACATCAATAGCAACTAAACATTCAGATCATTTCAAAAATTATTCAACAACGAAAACTTCTCATTTGAAAATAATTTGTTTACAAAGTTCCAAGAATATAAATGATTTTCGTTCAGTTTGTGATATTTATTTGACTTTTCAAATAAAAATGTTAAATTCAGAAAAAGTACAATTAACTTTGTTATCAAAAAATGCAAGTTGTTCGATATTATTAACAAATACATCTGATATAATTTTGATCAAACTGCAACAAGTGTTTTCAGTCGATGATATCTTTCGTTTTACTTATCAATGCTCTAATTTTACTAATAAAATAGAAGTATTTTGGCGTTTATGGCCTTTGAATACCACATGTTTAGTATCTCTCCAATGTTCTTTTACAAATATTTTAACACATTCAACATCAAAAGAACTATTTTTGAAAGAACAAAATGCTGTTTCATCTTGGTTTGATTTACAATATGAAACATTTATTGATCAAAGATTATCAAAACAAATAAATAAGAGTAGAAATTTAGTGCCATTTGAAATAGCAAAAAATCGAAATGTATGCTCAAGTGAATTTCAAAATTGGATTTTAGACTATGAAAAATGGCATGAAAATATAACATTTAATCTTAATAATGGATTAATGACAATAGAAGAACAACGTGATCGTATAATTGAACTTGATGTTCGTTTTTTAATTTATGAAAAACCAGATACATCAGGTATTGCCGATCGAATAATTCATATGATTTCAACATATTTAGTTGCATTATTAACAAAAAGATTATTCATATTTGATAAAAATTGGTCTGAATTTACTGATATTATGCAATCAAGTTTAAACTATGAACAAAACTTAGTTATACCATGGATTCAACAACTTAATTCACTTAATAAAAATTTAAATAAAACTCATCGAAATTATTTGTCATCAAATAGTCGATGGTTTTCTTTGGATCGATTTCAGAAAGATTATGATTATGATAGAATGTTTCCTGAACGTATTTTAACATTTAGAGGACATACAGGTGGTGTTATACAAACTATTCGTTCAAGCTCAAGTATTTATAAAAAGTTTTTAACTGTCGATCTTCGAATGCACACAGATAATATGTTTGGATGTCTTTATCAATCTCTTTTTACATATAAACTATCTGAATTAATCAAAAGAGTTCCATTTAGTTCTTCATATGTTCAAATAGGTCATTCATCTCAATTCATTTTACAAACACTTTTATCACCAATATTTTATCCAATTGGAGTTCAGATTCGTGCTGGTGATGCAACAATGAATGAAAAAAATATTGATCAATCAAAAGTTAATTCAAATCTTGATGAAATAATTGGTAAATATCAAAACTTTTTTACATGTGCTCAACAAATAATTAGAAAGAATGAAAAATTATTTAATGAAACAAATCGAACTCCAGTTATTTTTCTTTTGGCTGATGGTTTGGAAATTCGTCGAGCAGCTTTAAAACGTTGGCAATTCTCATTCGAATGTTCGAATTCATCTAACAAAGAATGTCGATTAAATTCTACTGATTTACATATACTATCAAGTGCAGATCCTGTTTTTCATGTATCACAAACTACAAATCGAATGTTAGCTTTTCAGTTGGGAATGTTTGATATTTTTCTTTATAGTTTATGTGAACAACATCTGATTAGTAGAGAGAGTGGTTTTGGTCGTTTTTCTGCCTTTGCATCTCTGAAACAACGAAACATCTATTCACTGAATCTTAATGAAAACAAAACATGTT